GCCGTTGCTTTGCCGAATCAAGATAAGCGCACACTTCATGGAACCTTATTCAACGTTGGAGGAGCCGCTTCAAGTGGTTAATGCGAGATCGAGATGGGAAGCAAATTTGTTAGCCAAGGCAGCCAAGCAAGTCTGGCTGAATTGAGACCATACAAAATGTGCCATTTATCAGAAAGAGTTGACATGACCCATCCTGAATTTCCTCATCCGTAGGATTCGGGCGCTCTCACAAGTCGGATACCCGAGACGTGCCATGTAGAAAAAACTGTGAAACTATTAAAGGACTTACTTTTTCTGAATAACATCATAGTATTTCCTTTCTAACATCTAAAAAAAAAAAAAAAAAAAAAAAAAAAAAAAAAAAAAAAAAAAAAAAAAAAAACATACACATCTTTCGTTTTACAAAAGAAAAGATTTAGGGAAACTTGTGATACCAAGTTTCCATATACAACACATTCCGAAACATAAACAAAAGGAAATACATGATGGGAAACATGAGTTTTTGAAACGAAAGTCCAAAGATACAATACGACATAAATGTAAAACCCACATAAAAGGTGCAATGCGTGGCACAACCTTGAGTGGTAATCACTGCTCAGCACGATCCCTGTAAACCTGGGGGGGAGGAAAACATGTTTTTGAAAGGGGGTGAGCTAAAATACTCAGTGAGTGGGGGAAAGGGCAAGTTTGCAAACATTCGTCAAACAAAAGTTATGGCATGCAATGGTTCTTATAAAATATAGAAAACAACATGATTTCATGAACATGATATGGGTTGCTAATCATTCATGTATGCATGCATAACTCATTTCTAATTGTTCTAAGTATTCAATCTGATCAATTAAACTGACAACAATTTCTGAATCCTAGTCTCACTAAATGCTGAAAATCTTTTATGAGAACTTAAAGAATAGTTGTAAATGCTTATGCTTCTAAAGACAATGTTTTCTATAAATCATGCTACAACATCAAATGTTTCATATAACTAATGCAAACTATCCATTAGATACTAAAAACTGAAACTATTAACTGATACTGAAAACTGTAGGCTGGTATCTGAAAACTTTAAATTGATATCCTGTTTCGAAACAGTAAATGATACTAAAGGTTCTCACCAACAATAGTACCTAGGGAAAAATCTCAGATACCTGGTGGGCATCCCACACACAGGCAGAGTTGGAAATACATCTCAATACCTGGCAAGATCATCGCGTGGGCAGAGCCTGAAGAAAACCATCTCAATACCTGGCGGACAAAACTCAACGCCTAGGCAAAGCACTAAATATCTCAATACGCATGCGCAGAGCCTGAAGACCGAATATCTCAATACCAGTGAATCTTGCATCGCATGGGCAGAGCTTGAAACTAAGGGATGGGTACTTGTATGGTGGTTGTAGCACCACAAATATCTCATTCACAATCTCAAGTAACAAATTAAGAGCATATTATACAAGTGCTTATAAATAATGCATATATGCCATAATATTCAAAAGTCGCATATAGGGGTGAAACTGCAATTTTCTAAACATGTTTCAGAAACTGATGGTTTAACCCATATTAAAATTACTTCAACATCACATGATCTTAGCATATGTCTGATACTAATCATAAGCAAATATCACTTTTAAAAGCCAAAACTCATATAACAACATCATAATTATAATTAAACCAAAGAGCAAATGATAATAATAATAATAATAAAAATAAGAATATTTCATACTAGAATAAAATAAACATGAATAAACAAAGTATATAAAATTCTTTTTGTGCCTTCACGGTTATTTGCACAAATAATTGAATAAAATAAACCAAATAAAATCTTCTTGGACATTAAATAACTCCCTTTGACTGCCTTTTAATCACCTATATTACACCAAGCCAAAAACCTCATTTACAGCACTTCATTTACAAGTAAAAAGAAACTTCCCCATGTCGAGAACAAGCAAGAAAACACTTGTGGTTATTTTATTCTAGAGCAAAAAATGTCAGCTTTCCAAGCATGTTAACCAGCCAAAATTTAATTCCTCTTTATAATGCCATTTCCATCTATTATAAGCACACCTTCCATTATAAAAATTCCACGAAACCATCCCTTTTCATACCAAAAAACATGCTCATGAGTCACAATTATAGACCAAAACTAGTGCAATAGTTACAACCGGCTCAGGTGAGTTATACTTATATAAATAAGAGAAAGAAAAAGAATCACAGCAGGCCCATTTATTCATTATTTAAAGCATGTTTCCAACACCATCAAGTCTACTGTCCAGCTAAAAAAAAACACCCAATCATATTATCCAGCAGCACAAATCAGCTTTTGATTAACTTACACTAACATTGGTTACAACCTGGCCGAAACATGAAGGGAGGATTTTTAATCAGTTTCACAAAATAACAAGACTCTCAATAAGACATCAATATACAAACATGAGTCTGGTGTTTTTAGGAAAGATCTAGTGACATACAACACAAGTATATTTCATTAGGACCAGATCTGATGCAGTTTCACTCATTCCATGTTCTGCCGAACACATGCAAGCAAGGAAAGCGACAGTCAACAGTAAGTTGTATCAAACAGCATGAGATAATACATTCACTTAACAAGCAATCGAAAAAAAGTTTAGATTTTTGGAAAAGTTTTAAAGAAACCACTCACACTAAAAAATTCAGCTCAACCCAAAATACCCAGCTGCCCCAAGCATCATCTTTCTCTTCACCTCACTTTCTCTCCCTCATTTATCTTTTTCTTCCCCTTTTTCTCTCCTCTTCCCTTCCTCCTCTCGGCCGAACATTCTCTCTTCCTTCTTCCTTCTTTTCTCTCTTGTTTTCTCCCTTCTCTCTCTTCCTTTCTCTCTTTCTTTTCTTTCTTTCGACTTTCTTCTTCTTCATTTGGGCGAGCAGCCCAAATTTATATAAAACAATTTTTTTTTCTTACAACAGCCCCCAAATTCTCTTAATTCTAATGTAACCCTGCCACATCATCTTTTCCTTTAAAAACACCCAGATTTTGTGCCCTTGCTACATGCAAACCCAACAGTTTCCATTTCTTCTTTTTCACCACTAACCAAACTTTAAAATTTGACAGAAAAGTCCCTCCTTATAAACAAAACCAAAGGGAATATATATATAATTAGAATGGGGTTTTACAAGAGTAGCATTAATCCAGCCTAAAACAAATTGATCCTTCCGATTCCATAGGAGATACTCAGGATTGAGAGTAGTTGTTGGTTTCCCTTGATCATCAATGAGAAATTGGGAGGGGCACGTTAGAGAACTATCCACGAAGCCCATTAGATCATGACTTTTGAGAACTGGAACAATTTGAGACAACCATATCAGATAGTTGGTCTCATCCAACTTAGCTGAAACAAGTTGACTAAGATTGGGGGCAATAAAGTTGCTAGATGATGAGGCAGCCATTTGAAAAAAAAAAAAAAAAAAAAAAAAAGTTGAAGGATCAGTGTAGACGTGCTTGAGCAGAGTGCTCTGATACCATAAAAGCCATAAGATATGAAAAAGGGGTTTGGCCTCAATACCAGACCAGTCCATGTATTGGTTTATTTAAATAGCTCAGGTTGTCACAATAATAAGAATACATTTGAAATAAGCAATAGATATCAAGTACAAGGTATGCGGAAGTAGAGTTTAAAATGGAATCAAGTTGTTGGAGCTGATAAGGTTGTTACAGATGTTGAAATCGTTGGTGATAAGTCAGCAACCCAAATGGTCTGCTGCTGGAATGTTCATGAATTAAAGGACTACATAGTTGACGCGTCAACAGAGAAACTTTATTTCCTTAGGTAAACTCATCCTTGTTGCCCAGATTCTTGATATACCCGTAACAAAAATTTGTAAAAACTAAAATGAAACATTTAACTCATCCTCTGATAATTATTTTACTGGTTGAAAGATTTGAGCTAAAATGGAAGGACAAATGATTTTACAATGTTTGCCCTCATAATTTTTTCGACAGTGACATTCTTCCATTTCACATAAATAGTTAGGTGTGTATCTAGTTTTCAAACTCAACCCCTCAAGTATGGTTTCCACGTTTAATTTTGAAAATGAATGTATGTTGTGGGCAGCTTCATTGAATAGTATATGATAACACTTCGGCATGATAAGATCAATAATATTAGGTCCACAACCTAATCTCACAATCTTCTTTTACAATCTTCAACTTGACAATTTACAATTGGTTAGGTAAACAAGACTTACAGCAAATAGACGAGACTCATTTGTGCGCTGACCAATTACGAATTGTCATATCAAAGGTTATGAGAGAAGGTTATAAGGTTGAGTTATGGACTTAACATCTTTCGTATACGGTAACACTGTATCATGATGATGTAATACGCTCATCCGTGATGATAATCATAAAAAAACATTAAATTGAGAAAAGGATATTAATCAATATCAAAATACTTTTCCCGTTCAAATTATTAAATTAAGAAAATGATATTAGTTCTTATCAAAAGACTTCTCCCATTCAAATAAACATTGTGCATTGAATAGAAAATATGATGCCTGCAGCATCATTAATATTTTTTTTTTTTTTTTTTTTTTTTTTTTTGGTGAAATATAGATTTTGATACAAGTCAAGGCCCTACAGAAAGGGTGTTCAGGAAGCAAAGATTTCTTCCTATCCAAGTTAATTAAAATTTAATATGGTGAGCTAATAGAAAACCTTTATTATTTTACAAATTATATATATAACAGATTTTTATTGGTTGGAGACACGCAGAACTTGATGTATTATAGGCTAACTTTTACTAAAGAGAAGTTAATGAAAATGATACGTTAATTAAGATCTTGACTCCTGTCAGAATCTCTCTACGTCCATCGTACCAACGAAAGTATTTGGTTAATCTGTGAAAAACTGCAATAAATTGCAGCTGCCAATGTCTTGTTCTACTTACAAAATCAACACGCTGTGGATCACTATAGAGTCCTTCCTTTGTTTTCTTACAGAAAGAAAAAGAGTTTAAATTTGAAAAGCTATGGATTGTTCTCTGTACAACGCAGCAAGAGAAGGAGACGTGGAGTTCTTGAAACAGTTTATCCAAAGTGATAATCACAACAGTCTCCTCTTGCATACAAATCAGGAGAACAATATAATTCACGTAGCTGCAAAATTGGGTCATGAATCATTTATTCATGGGGCTCTCCAAACATCTACCTTCCTTGCAAGCCATAAAAACTCAAAGGGTGACACTCCCTTACATGTTGCAGCGAGAGCTGGCCATATTGCTGTGGTAAAACTTCTCATTAATGACAAAAGAAGTAGAGGTATGTTTAGAGTTGATTCGATCGAAACTCCGGGTACAACTGTTTTGAGAGAAATGGAAGAGGGAGAGAGTGGAATTCCGAATCTGTGGAGGATGAGAAATAAGGCTCAAAGCTTGGCTTTGCATGAGGCTTTGAGGAATGGACATGAGGAAGTTGCACTGTGCTTGTGGGAGCTAGACAATGAAAATGAAAATGAAAAGGCTGGAGTTGTGACAAGTGCAGGTGAGAGCCCTCTATATTTAGCTGCTGAATCAAGGTGCGAGGCCGTGTTGCTGAGGATTTTAAGGTTCTTAAGACTAAATGCAGAGAGAGTCAATCTCTTGCGTGAGGCTGTCCGAGGCCCTGATGGCAGAATCCCTTGCATGCCGCCGTCCTTGCAAGAAGCACTGGTATGATCAGTCTCTTTTTTCTTCAAAAACATCTTACTAATCTGCCTTTGTTGTTAGTTGCAAGGTAGCACAGGTAACAACATCTTGAAAAGAAAAGAAAAAAAAAAAAAAATCCAAGTAAAATGAAGAACCCATGTGGTAAATATAGGTGAAAAGACAAAAACAATAAAAGAATTGAATGTGTTGATGCTCGACTTTGACATCAACTACAATCAGGTCGCATGTAGCAATCAGAGTGAACAGAAATACAGAGAGGGAGAGAGAGTGTTTATATTATTAGAATTAGAATCTCTAAAAATTAGAGAAGAGCTCTCTATTTATAGTAAAAGGTTTCAAGGTAATGATTACAGTTCTGCCAACGGGCAGGTGCCGTACAGTTTTTACCCTGCTTCTCATTGGTCAACCGCATGGAATATATTCTTAAATCGCACAGGGTTTAGGCAGGTGGGTGACTCCCAGCCACTCACTTGCTAGGCCTTTACCTGCTAAGCTGATGACAGCTTTACTCCTTCTGTCCTTGGATGACGTGACAGCGCCTGGATGACACAATACTTTCCTGAACTCTGATTGCTTCTCGTTGATGTAAACCTACGTCAGCCCTTATTTTTTAAACATAACAGAATGTTTTCCATTCATCTAAGATAAACAACCGGTCAACAAATGAGTAATTCCAATTTGGGAAGTGTCCAGTCTGAAGGATATTATATACTGAAAAATCATAAAGACAATTAACTTGCCCAAATGAACAAATCATTTGGAACAGGATAATCGAAACGACTTAAGAGGTTGATTAGGGAAAGAGAGATCTTAAATATCCCTGCACCCAATCTCCAATATGATAGTTAATCTAAGCTTTCATAGAAGCCTCTTTTATCAGGAAATTGACATCTGACTTATATAATCTATCTCTTTAGTGCCTTGCCATAGATTGCATTGGTTATCTGCTAGAAGAAGAAGATATCTTGAAACTCATTAATCAACCAGACATTAGTGGAAAGACAGCCCTTCACTTTGCAATAGCAGCCAGATAGACAAATATTATACGTGAGTTGCTTAAAGAAAGTACCTCATCTGCATATCTGCGAGACAACAATGGAAGGACGCCATTACAAACTTTGATGTCCTTCAAGAGATACTCCTATACTGTCCAGACACAATGGAACTCTGTGACCCTACTGGCCAGAACGCGCTTCATCTTGTTGTGTTAAACAACACTACGCGCAATGTCAGGGAATTCTTGCGCTTGCAAGAGATGAAGGAGCTTGTGAATGAACCTGACGTCGAAGGCGACACACCGTTGCATTTTGCTATCAAGAACGAGAACTACAAGATGGTGAGAAAATTGATGGCAACTGAATGCGTAGACTTGAGAACCAAGAACAACAAAGGCCTCACAGCTCTAGACATTTGCGAGTCGGACTGGAATCTTTCTTACAGACTGGTAATCTTATTAGATACCACTTATTTTCATATTAAATCTATTCAATGATTCACATTTTGATGGAGTTCAATTTTCCTTTTCACCTTCATGGATGGCTGAAATTATTTCTCTTTTATTGTTGATATTATTGCAGAATTCTCTCCATACATACCTGAGAGGGCAAAATGCGACGCGAGGTAGACAGCCCTATAATTATTGGAAGCGTGATAAAAAAAATCAAAGAATGCATTAAACCACCCTAACGCAGACTTGAAGAATATAGCCAACACAATGTCAGTGGTTTCTGCCCTTCTGGCAACTTTAACTTTCGCTGAGGCTTTACATTACCAAGAGGCTACCATACTGATGATGATGACAAACCTTCTGAAATAAAGCATTCAACAGATGATAAAACTAAACCTGAACTAGGTACCGCAATCCTCATAGAGAAATTATCACTTAAGGTATTTGTGTTGGCTGATTCACTTGCAATGTGTTCTTACATGACAATGGTGTTTCTCTTAATTCTAGCAATGGTTGGTGATCCTGCCTTCTTGCGCTCAGCAATTTTTTATAGCAAGAACTTGCTGAATATCGCCCTTTTCGGAACGTTGGTCGCCTTTGTAACTGGATTGTGCACTGTGAGAACTTGAAAAAGATAAACTGAAGTTTCTAGAGAAAAGCACAATTTCAGTAGCTTTATTTTCTAACTGAATGAAATGAGCTTACATGAGATTTGTTCTTATACAATTGAGAAAGAGAAAGACGTTAACTGAATAATTGAGAGAAAGAGTAAAGTGCAGAAAGTGAAGAGAAGAGTAAAGTTAATATGAATTGAAAACGACGTCACTTTGCATTTAGTAAAGTGCCAAGCAGAAACGGCACCGTCTTGACCTTTTGCTGATACTTCCCCTTAAGCAAAACTGGTTCACTTTCAACTCTCAACTTCCCAGACATTTNGAACTAGGTACCGCAATCCTCATAGAGAAATTATCACTTAAGGTATTTGTGTTGGCTGATTCACTTGCAATGTGTTCTTCCATGACAATGGTGTTTCTCTTAATTCTAGCAATGGTTGGTGATCCTGCCTTCTTGCGCTCAGCAATTTTTTATAGCAAGAACTTGCTGAATATCGCCCTTTTCGGAACGTTGGTTGCCTTTGTAACTAGATTGTACACTGTAATATCACCAAAGAGTGAATGGTTAGCCATCATTGTCGTCGTCATAGGCTCCAGTGTTCCATTTCTCATCAAATTTTTGAACCGGAAGTCTTCCACTTTGTAATTTACAATGTTGATAAATTTGTTTGTGATGATAAAGTGGGTTAGGATATAATCAAGAGTGTTATTTCAATCTATTGATTTATTTTTTATGAGGTGAGTTGAAAGATGAGTATTGTTATTGTATTATGATTATTTAATTTATATAAAATTAGTAACTTTTAAACTATTAGATATTTAAACATGCATGAAGTACATAAGAGTTTTTTCTTTATTAAGTAGTCCACATAATGACACCTGAGATTACAATTATTAAAATTATACTATCAATTAGCCATCATAATAATTAATTCTTTTATGCCTATGATGATTCTAAATAAACAATCTTTTTGGTAAATATTATGTGTGAAAAATATAAAAAATGAGCTTTAGATTAATAAATTAAATAATAAAAAATATCGTGTTAAGAACGATGTTCACAGTTTTCTGTGAGCATTACAAATTCATAATGTTGATTAACAAATTTGATTTTTATTGAAAGTCAAGCTGTTAATTATGTTTATTTGGTTGTTTTGTTTCTTTGTTATATATTAGCTAGTGTATCTTATTTTTTAGGAGTTTTTATTATTTTAGGAGTGCTTTATTTCTTAACTATTCTTTTCCTTTTATAAGAAAATTGAATTCTTAATTATCAAATTTTCTTGATTTTTTTTGATTTGTTTCCTTTAAGAGAGATTCCTTTCCAAAATTGTCTCACCATTATAACCTATTTATTTCTATCATCTTTATTCAATAGATAAGAAGATCACAGAAGAAATTGAGTATGTGTTCTCTCATACTTTCATTCTTTATTTTCTTCTTAGTATCAGAGCGGGTTTAATCCTCTCTTTGTCTCTATCATCGAGTTGTTCCTACTTATTATCTCTGCATCAATAGATGGAGAAAGAAGGTCAATGAAATCACGTCTCTACCGAGGAGCTATCACCTTCTAATGCAAGTCTGTTTAATAAAGGGCAAATGGAGACATTTCAAAAATTATTGTCTCCTTGTCCGTCAGCTCAGTCACAAACCAACTCATCTTCCAACCATGTCATTGGTTGCAGAACCTTGATCACAAAGATAATTTTTTGAGCCCCTTTACTGTGGGTAAAAAACATAAAAGTTCACTAGGGGTAAAATGGTCATTTCACTTTGAATTAGATGAAAGAGTGTGGAGTGAAAAGAAATAGAATCACATGGAGAAGTTAATAAAAATGAGGGTATTTTAGTAATTGACTAAAGGACATAAAGGGAATTTTATAGAAAGTGCAAGGGCAAAATGGGAATACATGCTTATATTATTTGATATAAGGCTTTATTCGAAGAAACCCTAACACACCTTCAGCCCTTGTTCACGCCACCTCTACCACATTTTCTCTCAATTTTCTTCATTAAATTTCAAAGGAAAATCATAGGATTTGGTTTAAATTTTTGGAGATTTTCAATTTAAAGCATCCTAAGGTAAGATTCTAGCAAAAGGAGTGTGATTAAACTTTAAAGTTTTAAATTCTTATGGTTTTTATATGATCTAGGTCCAAGAGGAAGAGATTTAGAGCAAAAGGAAAGTGATCTCACATATTCAAGGCAAGTAAACCTAATTTGAACCTTAATTTGAGCAAAACTTGTGTTGAACGAATTATTGCATGTTTGTATATGATGATATGAGAGAATTATTGGCTGTTTTTTATGTTTAATGATGTATAAATTCTAGCCATGAGAAGTAGTGTATGGTTATGTGATGATTTGGTGAAGTTGTGGAAGATTTTGTGTTGAAATTTTTGGAGTATAGAGAAGTGAGAAATTCGGCCAGGTTTGATATTAAATTTAGTGAGTTTTTAGCTGACAATTTGGTTGAATTAGAGAGTTGTGGAAGTGTAGCCAACATGGTAGTTGCATGTACATATGAAGTGTTTGATGAAAATCCAAAGAGAAATTGCATGCATGAGTTGGCTAAACCCTAATGAAGAAAAGGTTAGAGAAATGCAAGACTTGAAGTTTGATTGTCTATTATTGATCTTTTAACATGTTTTCACAGGGGAGAATGGTTAGGAAAGGTTAGGGAGTAAGTGGAGGTAAATAGGTATAGAAAAGCCTTAGAGTAAGCATGTTACCAAGGTTGTCCTATCAAATCCGTGACTTTTTGAGTGATGTTTGGGCATTTTACCTATCAAACTGGGTTGAGTCCTAAACATAAAAGTTGTAGCCCTTTCTCTAAGCTTTAAATTGAGACTAAAAACATAGCAATCGGATGTGTATAACTCGAGATATGCCTTTTTGAATATGATGTGTGCAAAATGACTATCTCAAAAGTGCTTCCACTTTATTAGTTTATTTGTAGTCTAATAATCTATGATTGATTCCAAGTATGAAAATGATGCTTAAAGGGTTGTGAAGCAAGTTTGAATGAGTGGTCTTTGTGATTATTTAATGATTGTATGAACATATATATTTGATGTAATGAATGACCATGGAGGCTATGTGTAATATGTTATATACCACATAAGTATGAGCTTGTGTATGTATAAACAAGCCTAAGGATGATATGTTTCTATGAATTTGTTATGCATCCACGAAATGGTCATGATGAAATGATACGTTCATATATGGAAAGTGTATGTTTTTTAAAGAATGCAAGAGTAGAATTTCCATAGCTTGGAAACTCATGTTGAAATGTGCATAGTATCTCTTTCTATTCTCTTTCTATATCATGCTATGATATAAGGTTTTTGCGATGGGGAACCCATGAGTGATAGAGATGCCCACATACATGCTGCCACAAGCGAGCGGCATCAGTAGAGAGATACAATATTTGTACAGTCTGTGAGTAGTGTATGTGGATGATGATTGTACCCAGTAAAGCATACCTACATGCACGGTGCCACAAGTGAGCGGCCATAGCAGAGAGATACAGTACTTGTACAGTACATGAGTAGTGCATGTAGATGATGATTGTACCCACTCACATGGCCAAGGTTCCAAATCCATGCATCAACCTAGTCCAATTGGCAAACTAGAAAGAAGAAATAAAAGAAAATGAAACAGAAAAGAAAAGAAAGAGATACAACATAAGAAAAATAGAAACAAAAAAGAATGAAGAATATAATCAAAGAATAAAGTGATAAAAGGAAAAATCAGAACATGAGTAACGGAGGAAACACAGTAGTGTAGTTTGGTTTACTTACTGAGCAATTAGTGCTCACTCCGTTAATTTATTGTTTTGCAAGTACTAGATGATTTACGATCGGGTGGGACATCAAGAAGTGGAGGAGTTTGGCGGCACTGTTCAAGATTACCTTATGTTTACTAAAGTATATCAATGTTTTGTGTATATATTTATATGAATTAAAAATAAGAATTTTCGGATTTACATTATGTATATATGTTTGTAAAAGTCATTTAGTGAATTCTATCTTATATTTCTTACATAATTACTAGCTATACAATATATTATAGCTTGATACATATAGCCCATGTCCAAATAATTTAAAGTTCTGAATAGCAGATGGTTTGCTATCAAAGGTTGTCGGTACAGGTTCAGTTGTGATATCAAAGGACCTTACTCTCAACTCTGTTCTTTTTGTTCCCAACTTGGAATGTAATCTATTGTTGATTATAAACTCACTAAGGAAAAAAGGTGTGTTATTAATTTTTCCTCCACTCATTGTGAACTTAAGGATTTGGATTTGGGGAAGACGATTGGCAATGCTAAGGAATGCTCTAGATTCTACATCCTTAAGGAGCGCCACTATCCACAAGAACAACCTCAAAAGGCAATTAGTGGTAATTCTTTTTCTGTAATTTCTTGTCAAAATAACGATAGTGAAATTATGTTGTGGCTCTATCGCTTAGGTCATCCAAATTTTATTTATCTCGAGCATTGTTTTCCATCCTTATTTAACAAAAATCAAAAATACTTTGAGTGTGAAGTTTGTCAATTATCAAAACATGTTCGGTCTCACTTTCCCATTAAACCCTACAAAGCATCTAGTACATTCTCAATTATTCATAATGATATTTGAGGGCCGTCAAAAATAAAAAATGTAACAGGTGCAGGGTGGTTTGTCTCATTCATAAATGATTAAACTAGATTAACCTGGGTATTCCTCATGAAAGATGGTTCAAATATTCAAAAATTTCAAAAATATGATTCAGACCCAATTCTAATAAAAAATACAAATCCTGAAGTCTATTAATGCTAGAGATTATTTCAACTCCAGCCTAGGAGAATTTCTAGCGAAAGAAGGAATAGTTTACTTAAGTTCATGTGTAGATACCCCACAGCAAAATGGAATTGCTAAAAGAAAAAAATAGACATTTACTAGAGGTGGCTAGATTACTCATGTTTGCAACAAATGTACCAAAATATCTCTAGTGGGAAGTAGTTCTTACGACAACTTACCTTATCAATAGAACGCCGTCTAGAGTTCTAAAATTCAACATACCTTGTCACACCCTCCTAAAATCCTTTCCAACAACTCGTCTTATTTCCACCATTCCACCCAAAATTTTTGGGTGCTCTGTCTATGTCCATGTCCATCAACAACATCAAAGTAAACTTGATCCTAGGTCGCTCAAGTGCATCTTTTTTAGGTATTCCTCAAATAAAAAAAGGTATAAGTTTTACTCTTTAGTCACACAAAAATTCTACAACTTGATGGATGTCACCTTTTTTGAAAACTAGCCTTACTACCCCAAAACTGATATTCAGGGGGAGAATTCAACTCAGGAATATCAGTTTTGGGACTTTGAGTCGCTCATTGAGTCACCCATCACCACATAAAATCACATTTCTCTAGAGCCTTCTAATAAACTCCTACCTGTCAAAAACACTGAGTTCATTGTTAACTTAAGGGATAAAGAGCACATCCAAAAGGGAATGGATGAAGGAGCAGTTCCTCAACAAATCCATGAAGCTGAGCCAAGTTTGAATTCGAACGAAATTCCAAGTAACAATATTTCTGGTTTAGATGGTGCTATTGATTCTGAGTTAGAAAATGATATTTTGAATATGCCCATAGCTTGGAG